ATTTTAACCAACATGCTCTTCTTATAGTATCCCATATATTTATTCATTTATGTAAAATGGACTTGATAAGAAAAAAATGAAATCAATTGTCAAAAGATACGGGAATACTTTACTAGATATGATTAAATTTATTAACCTTCATTTATTTAAACTGAATGTTAAAATTTGAATTTGTTATGATTTTGTTTCTCTAATCCACTTCTGATCTTTAAATATATATATATATATAAAATATTACAGCTTCCAAAAGTAAACATAAGTCATACATATCTACTATAGATTTTAGACTAAAATATTTTAAGAATTTAGTAAACATATGCTGGTAAAACTGCATAACGCCAAAGTATAGTAAACAAAAACATACAGACATTTGTTTTCAATTACCTCTCTATTTATATAGAGTTAAACCATCAGTGCTAAAACTCAAAAATATTAAAAGGGAAAGTAACGACAAATGACATTTTAGTGAATAAGTAAAAAAACAACTTCACTCTTCTGGTCCTATTTTAATCCATCTTTCTGCGTGTTATTTTAATATTTTTTAGTTTTCTTTGTTCTTTCACTTGGAACTTTTTATGTGCTTGAAGTTACTAGCAATTCTTTATTAAAAGTACAATAAAGAACTAGACCCTTGAATAATTTGAGAAATGTAAAGTGAAAAACTAAATTATGATATATAAAACTATTGATTTTCAAACTTTCTTCTGCAGCTCAACTTTATACAGAACTCCAATACTGTCAGCATATCTCAATAATATTCCTACTCAAAAGAAATAATGCATTATTGGTTTTTTGTTTGGATTAAAAACCATGCAGCATACTGTAAATTTAATAACATTAAAGTTGAGGACGATAAATAAAAGGTCTATGGTCCTTATCCAATTCTAGATTTCTAACTAAAGAGTGGCATGATAGCCACAGGTTAGGTACACACATCTGATTAGAAAACTAGAAAATGGTATCTTTGAAAGCAAGTAATTTACTCAGGATGTGAGATTTAATATTTTCAAAGCCATTTCTAGATAAGAATAACTAATTATTCTTCATCTTTATTAGAAATAAACAAGAAACAGGATAACAGATTGAGGTCAACTATAGAAAAGCATTTCTAGAATGTGTTAATAAGTACTTGAATAGATTGCTAATGGAGGCTGGAATTCTCTTAGGTCAAGGACTTGAAAAGGATACATTTTAATCTTTCAGAAATGGATTCTCTGAAAGCATAGTAAAGGACTTGCAACAGTCTTTCTCACCTTAAAATAAAATTCTTAAAACTATGTATTTATGGAAGATCATGCTTTTGTATTTGTTTCATTTATAAGTTAAAATTTATGTAAGAAGAGTGTATAAATAATGGCATATTCCAGATGTGATTTGGTATGGGGCTAGAAACAATGGGGATAATATACAAACGTGAATACAAACAGGGCTCAGCACTACATGAGAAAAGGAAGAAAGCATTAAAACATGAAACTAAAAAGATTAAAATTCCACATCATAACAACTCCTTAGGTAAGTTACAAAATGCAGTATCATCTACCAATACAGTCTATAAACAAACTATAAGGAATCTCAAACAAATCCAAGTTTAAATGAACCCCCCTGAAACTGACATAATTAGAATGATACAAATCTATTATTTTTTTAATTTAATTTTTTCACCAATACTAAACAAAAAGCCAATTTTGTTTTGTTTTGTTCCCCAAATGTGGAACAGGTAATACAGAGAGAGAAAATATAACAAATAATTTATCCAGGCAAGAATGTGTGCCTTGGAAATCCGACCACCATAACAGTTCTCTTCATGATGCCAGATCAAGTTTCTATCACCAATAACGGAACACACCACCATCCTGGGAGTCCTGACACAGTGCTGAGAAGGACACAACATTACCTCTGTGGTATTCCTGAATCTAATTATTAGGAGACATTAGAAAACCCAAATTGAAGGACATTCTATCAAACAAGTGGCCTATACAGCTTTAAAAATGCCAAGATCATGAAAGACAAAGAAAAGCAGAGAAACTATTCTACGTTAAAGGAAACTAAGGACACTGTCGTGACAACCCAGTGTAGTACATGACTCTGGGCTGGACGGGGTCTTTGATGGAGGGCATGGGTGGTTGACATGCAAATAGGAAGTTACATGATGTAACCAGGACTATGAACTGTGGATCAGATACTCTATCAATGTTAAATTTCTTGATATTGATTATTACCGTACTGTGGCGATGTAAAAAAAAAAATTCTTATGGAATACATACAAAAATATTTAGGCATAAAGGGACTGATGCTTGCCACTTACTATCAAATGATTCAGGAAAAAAGCACATTGAGAGAGAATTTGATAAAGCAAATGAAGTAAAAATGTGAACAACTGGTGAATCTGGATAAAGTGTACATGAGAGTTCTTTTCTTGGAACATATTTGTAAGTTTGAAATTATGTCAAATAAAGAGCTGCAAAAAGAACCTTAATTGGGTATATTAATTTTCCATTGTTCATGGAAATAAGTACCATATTATACTAACTGCACTTCTAATTACTTTATTGATTTAGTCAATAAATTTTCGGCTAGGGTAATAATATTTTTTGGTATATTAAAAGACACTTACTCACTGCTAGGGGTGAGAGAAGAAAGGGGAATTCATACTACCTTCTCAAGGCACAAAATGACAATGTGTGTTAACCTCATAAAAACCAATATTCTTTGACTCATCAAGTTCTCTTCTAGGAAATTACTCTACAGAAATATAAAAAATATACACAAAGATATTTATATACAAAATATTTCTGCATGTATGTACATATATATGAACATGTATCTATACATATATGTATATGTACCATATTTATGTACAAGAATAACCATTATTTCAATAATAAATGAAAACAGCTTACATGTCCGAAGACACAGAATTATTAAATAGGTTAGTATGTATCTATACAATGCAAAGTATGCTACTCTTAAAAATGGCAACATAATAGATTCATACAGTAGTACATCTCTTAAACTTTTCAATACACTAGGAAATTATAGACATATGATAAAAAACTATATAAATTATGGAGGGTGTAACCAAAAGTGTTGCACCTCATTTGGAAGGACACTATTCTATTCAAAAGGCTTTGGCATGTTAGGCCAGGAGACAACAACCTATAGTCCTTACGTTAACTTGGCCCCACTACCTGCTTTTGTAAGTAGAATTTACTACAACGAAGACATGCCTATTCGTTTATTTATTGTCTGTGGCTGCTTTTCACATTACAACCACAGAGCTGAGTAGTTTTGACAGACACTATAAACCCAAGAAGCCAAAAAATATTTACTATCTGGATCTTTATGGAAAAAAGTTTCTGAACCCTGGTCCAGAAACCTAGCCCATATTTCTCTCCAATGCTTTCCAAGTTGCCTTTCAATTTATTGAATTATATGATATGATCATAGACTAAATGGTTTCCAAACTATCTTTGCATGTGCGGCAAGAGAGTAAAAGGATCTCAATCCATCCACTCACCCCAGCCAAGGGGGAAAAATGGAGCAAGTAAAGGAGAAAAAAGGAAAGAACAGAAAGGAAAGAGGAAGCCAGGGATTAAAGGAGGGATAAGAAAAGTCTGAAAGCCACTGATCTACTTTAGGGACGGGAGGAGGAAAGGAAGACAAGGAGACCCTTATTTGGTAAATGAGTTTGTATTTAGGAACTGAGTTTGTACTAGAACCCAATCTCTTAATATACAGCATGTATATTATATAGATATATTCTGAATTCTCAATTGGAGGGGGAAGAGCAGACAAATTTTTAGATATTAAAATGGTTTGTGGCTTTCCAGAGCTCAACTCAACTCAGGAATCTTATTTCTTAGTATTTAATTTTGTTAATTTCTCACTCATTAAATTAAGTGAAAATTGATTAAATTGATTTAAAATTTATTTTTCTCCTGAGGGGCACAATAATGAAAAAAAAAAGAAACCTGGAGAACGATGGTATATAGAAAATATCCTTCAATCTTAAGTTCCGTTACACAAAATGTTAAAAGGGTCTTAATTACTAGTATACACATTTTAACCCATCATTTTTGGTTCCAGTATGCACATGGTACAAATCAATCCTGTTATGAGCCAGTCCAGGAGGAAACTCCAGGTGGGTACAGAAAAGGGAAGGAAAGTAAAAGAGCAAAAAGGTTATTGCAGTGAAAATGAGCAGAGGAAAGTAAACTCAAGACTCAGAACTATAGAAAGAGGACACTGAGCCACATGTTACATGATGAAGTTACCAATGTAGGCAAAAGCATACATAACCTTACATAACACCAGGCTTAGGACACACAGATTGAGAAAGACCTCACTTATAATCTCAGACATTCAAGTTATTTGTTATCTCTTGAACAACAGTAGGAACCAATGGATATAAACAACTATTAGCACTTCAGTGAAGAGAAATGGAAAGTTTTTAGTATAAACGGATGAAAATGGCAATGAACGGTTACGCTAGCTATTAAGCAGTTGCCTCTGCCGTGTATCTATTATAGAACTCTGTAAATGGCATTTTTCCTTTGCCAGCTAGCTCCCCGTTAGGTTCTGCTAGGCAGAGGTGTTGGAAGGAAGTTGAATTGTTCCAGAAAGTGAGGAGGGCTTCCCTGTTTTACTTGGTGCTCCTATCAGGGCTGCCCCGGTAACAACCCTTTACTCTAGAGAAATAACTCCTTAGTAGAATTGGTTCCGATTTCTATTGTCCTTGTTTTCTTCTCCCAGAACCAGACCCATCACACTCCCTCAGAGGCCAGCCACCAGCAGCAGCCAAGCAGCATCCCCTTCCAAAAGTTCAGCTCTTAGCTCTGTGGAATCCATCCCACCAGTCCCTGAAGTACCAATACTAGTAAAGTAATACTAGTAAAGTAACACTCGCTCTTCGCAGGTCTGGGTCAATGCTCTGCCTTTCTCTGAGATCCTAAATCCTAATAATCCCAACCTCTTTCTCCCCCTCCTAAAGATCCTGGAAAAAAAAAATGGAACGTGTCATGAATCTGCATGTCATCCTTGAGCAGGGTCCATGCTATAACCTTCTCTGTACTGTTCCAATTTTAGTATATGTGCTGCTGAAGAGAGCACCCAACCTCTTTTCTTTGTTTCCCCAGGGGCAGTACTGGATTCTTCTAATACTATCTCTGCTATCTCAGTGTTCCCCCTTTTGCATCGCCCTCCCATACCTATTTAACCAACTCTCCATAAAAAATTCTATTAAGATAACTAGTGTGGTTTCACCTTCCTGACTGGTCCCTAACTGATACAAGAGTATCAAGCAGTCCTTATTCTAGAGGTAATTAACATTCTCTCCAGGTGTTATTTTTAGTGTTTAATTTTAGTTTATATAAAAAATATTTTTAAGGACCATTAGAATGTATTCACACTTCAATCTCCCTAAATTTTTTTTTCCTGTTAAGTATAAGATTTTCTTTCTCCCACAATTCTTTTTGGTTATATCTGTGAGAAAACCCCAAGAAGTCACTAATGTATCTGTGATACTTATCCTTCATCTGTCCTATACCTCCTAATTGTGTCTAAGCCCAAAGCGATGCAAGTCTTTCTTTTTAACAAGAACAGCAAACTCTTTAATTCTGGACAGCAGTAACTGGAATAGCCAGTCACAGGTAGAGGAATGGACTTTAATGAGTTATCAAGAGGCAGGAGGTTCACTGAATCTTAAAATCCCAGAAAAATGCCCATATTTATTAACACATTTTTAAATATATATTGGAGTTAGTCACAGTGGAGAGATACAAAATGTCTAAGTACAAAACATGTACTTCAATAACAGAAGAGTTATTTATCCAACTATGTATCTATTAACTTACAAAATCTCACTTTGATAGCTACCTTGGAAAAATACATCATTTAACCTCTGGTAGCCTCAGTTTTCTCATCTGTAAAGAAAACAGGCTGGACTAGGTCTCTGTTGCCATATATCTAACATGACAGTCTATAACATTTCTTTTAGTACTGAGGCATTGGGAGCTCAGCATCATTAGCAAGAGAAACAAAAGATGGGTTTTGTAAAGGGAAAAAGTAAAGAGGTGGAAAAAAGTATCAAGACTGATAGTTTAAAAACATAATCTGAAAGAGATTCAAATATAAATGTTGGGGAATTCTTTATCTTTTTCCTCTAAGTCAAGGAAAAGGAAGAAAATATATCACAGGCGAATTACCTGGTTTAAAAAAAAAAGTTTTTTTATTCCTATTACCACAATCTTTGAAAACATTTACTAATAACTCAGAGAAGATACTTCTTAAATTCTCTTTAAGATAGAAAACATGTTGGGCACATGGGTGGCTCAGCGGTTGGGCGCCTGCCTTCAGTTCAGGTCATGATCCTGGGATCCGGGATCGGGTCCCCTATCGGGCTCCCTGCATGGAGCCTGCTTCTCCCTCTGCCTGTGTCTCTGCCTCTCTCCCTCTCAGACTGTGTCTCTCATGAATAAATACATAAATCTTAAAAAAAAAAATAGAAAACATGTCTTCTTTTATTTTTCAGTTTTAAAAATTGTTAGTTTTGATATTCTTCTCTCAAATTGTCTGACCACCTATCATATTGTATAGACCCTACATAGGCTTTCACAGCTTATTTATAGAGATATTATACTTAAAGTTCCAGTTAAAGGTTTATGAGATAGGCCAGATCATTTATGATTTAGTAGTTACCACTTAAGATAGTGCAACTGGTAGTGTTTTTGATGTAAGGGAAATTTGGTGAAAACAACTTTCAAATTTTATAATCAATTAGAGCTGTTCTAATGTAAACTGAGGAAAACTCCAATTCTGATTATCTGCCTTATATCTCATCCGCATTGCTACAGTAGCCTTGGCAATTTCCTTCCAAAACTTTACAGTTCAACTACTTTTATACAGAAGAAATAAGAAAGGTTTTAACTTTAGAATATGGATTTAACATCTACTCCTTAAAGCAAGAAATTTTATAATTTCGGGATCCCTGGGTGGCACAGCGGTTTAGCGCCTGCCTTTGGCCCAGGGCACGATCCTGGAGACCCAGGATCGAATCCCACGTCGGGCTTCCGGTGCATGGAGCCTGCTTCTCCCTCTGCCTATGTCTCTGCCTCTCTCTCTCTCTCTCTCTCTCTATCATAAATAAATAAAAATTTTAAAAAAAGTTAAAAAAAATAAAATAAAACAGTTTTTTTTTTTAAAAAAAAAGAAATTTTATAATTTCACAATTGAAAATATTAGGTCTTAGTACTCAAGAGTTACCATAACAATAAAAACAAATTTGCACAAGTCTATATAGCATAATTTCATTCGTGTAATACCTTGTATATTAATGTCATGAATAAATGAAAGTACACAAACCCCAAATCATGCATGCAAATGTAAACAATGGCTAAGTCTGAAGAGCAAGATGACATGGCAGTATGGAGCAGAGTGAAGGAGAGTTTTCACTTAATGTATTCTAAATTTAAAAAATAATTATTATGAAGCATATACCTATACTAATAATTTTAATTAAAAATTCATTTTAAATAATTAAAATTATAGATAACCCACTGAAAAAACCTGAGCTTAAGCTGAAGTAACATAATTAGTTAACTCACTTAGGCATAACTCTTACTTCAGCACCTTTTATGTGTCAGGCTCTGGGAACAGAGCCGGGTACAAGGATCCTGCCCCTCTGAAAGTGACATTCTGGTGGGAGTACTACTAAGATGGTTACACACTGTGATACATACTCAGAAGTATATAAATCTGGCATAGAGTAATGAAGTGGGGGATGGTTAATTTACATTGGGTGTTGAGGAAAAGCCTCTTTAAAATATAAAGCCTCTTTATACTTGAACCAAGGACCTAAATAATGAGAATGAGAAGCCATACACAAAGATCCTAGAGAAAGCATTCCAGACAGAGGAACAGCGACGGCAAAGATCTGGAAGATGGAAAAAAAGTGCAGCTAGAGCATAATGAATGGTAGGAGATAAGCTGGAGTACATGAGCTTGCCAAACCTCGATTTCAAGGTAAGAAATACAGTAAGAAGTCCCTGTAGCATTTTAAGCAGAGAGGTGAAGGAGGATGACTAATATTTTTAAGAGATCTCTCTGGTTGCTGTGTAGATAATGGTTTGGAGGGAGGGCAAAAGTGAAAGAAAGAAATCCCACTAAGACACTAAGCTGATGGAAAACGGAACTGGCTTGGGCCGTATCAGTGGAAATATCACTTCATTCAGGTATCAGTGCAGATAAATAAAAAAGATGGTGGTAGAGAAAGGAATATATGCTAACAAGATTTCATGGGGTGGGTACAGCTGGTGATAATGACAAACTTATTAACTTTTTAAGATGTGACTACAGGATGGTAGAGCATGCAACTATTGATCTCAGGGCCACAAGTTTGAGCCTTATATTTGGCATGACTATAGGAGTACCCAGCTTGGAAAGGATAGAGACAAATATAGTTACAAGTGAGAAAATGGAAGCTAAATGAGTGAGAAGTAACGCTATCATTATTAGCAAATGCCTGGATACTCCCCCACTAATATCTGTTGGTCAGAATGTTTTACACAACATACACAGTATACTGTATGCACATGAGAGTATTATAACTGCTCTTTAAAAATCTAATTTATAATGTTCCTCTTAATAATACTATTAATCTAACCACATACCCAAACTCATTACTCCACTGAAATGGCAATGGCTTTTAGAAGTTTCATGGAGACATTCAGCAACATAATAATAATATCTTAGGCAATATAATAGCTTATTTTACTATGGAAGGCAACTAGACTTAGTGTGGTGATCATTTTGCAGGATACATAAATATCGAATCATTATGTTGTACACCTAAAACTAATAGAATGTGATACATCAATTATACCTCAAACTAAAAAATAATAGTAATAATAGTTTTTCAAAACTATTTGTACACAGCATACCTAAAAACAGACCACATGCTGCAAATTGTTGGAAGTAAAAGATGGATAAATCGGGTTCATCACACCAATCTCTCACTTTCTTTTAGGTCTTACAGTATCTATAATGAAAAGTTTAAAGAAAAACTAAGTGTTGAGAATGTGGACTGGCAACCACAGTCTCAGAATCTATATTTTTGATAAAAAGTGGGCTCCTCTATTTTGAAAACCTGGCATGTTGAGCTCTATAAATTGCCTAAGGCAAAGTGATAAGCCTAGGGAAGGCATCCACTCTATGAAACCTTTGTCCTGGAATAGACCCTATGAATCTTTCAAAACAAAGGAGTGCAAGTTTGCTGCTCAGGATAATACACTGAACATAAAAGATTACTAATGACTTATGAACTCCTAATATAGCATGAATCATGCCAGCAACACTAGGATATTGGTTTCAACAAATAGCCTATTTTATTTTATAAACTTCACCAGAATATTATCAACAGCAGTATTAGAAAATGGAAAGCTAATAAAATTAGGAGGCAGCATCGGCATACTGCACACAGTGTTTCTCATCGCTCTAATGCAGAATCTAATGGATGAGAGATCCATCTTTTAACTTAAAAAAAAAAAAGCAGCCAGTAAACCTAGAATAATAGACCTCCACTTGACAAAGTTATTAGAGAATATTTTGCTACCTCAATTCAATAAACTGCATTAGTGAAACCAGTTTCTTTTCTAAGAAAAAAAGAGAGGCAACATACTTTGTTCTTGTGTCTTATTATAGTTCAAAAAGCCTGATTATATTAAGTTTGTTTTCCTTGAGCAATATCTGAAGTAGAAGACAACTGAAAGATTAGAGGATTATAAATATTCTCTTTCTATAAAGATGTTTTCCTAATTCTATAATAGAAGACATCACAAATACTGCATGATAGCAAACTCTCAGAAATCAACGCTTTTCCCAAACACCAGGGTGCCTACCTGCGAAAGAGAGCTTTTAATATCTAACCCTGATTTTATTTGGTATCATGATCAAGTATTTTTCTGAGAAGTAAATGGTTATTAGCGATTTCTACTGTAGTTCCGTAACAGCAAAGGCATAATCCATGTTTAGGTGATCACTTTATGTTTTGATTCAGTTATCTGCAGGGTGTCTGCATGGTACTCTAACTATTTAAAGCCAGCAAAAAAGATTAC